GTTCTAGCGACATTGAAAATAAACCATCTGGGTTTGCTCTCTCTGATTGTGACACGACCCACAATTCTAAAAGAATTAAAACATCCTTACGTATAGATGGATGCATGTTATTTCATGTGTAAATCTAAATGGTTTCAAATATCTGAAATACAGTAACACAAATAACATTCCTTTCCATAATCGAATTGAATCACTCCATCAGAACGGATCTCTCTGACGTGAGATTGCATTACCATACAGGAGCCTGCTCCCACGCCTCCAAAGGCTTCCAAACAGCTGGAGTGTAGCTGGGAATGCCACCAGACCCAGCTTCTCTTCCACAAGTGTATGGGTAAGGAGAAGATGAAGCACGTAAAACGCACACGTGACAAAGCAGTTCGTCTAAACCAAACGCATAGCGGTAAATGGTGGCAGAGGATAACTTCACCGTTTTCAGAGGATCTACTGTGTGTTCATGAAGAGTATGTAGCTGTACAATCTATTACCTCCCATTGCTTCTTACACATTGTCTGATGTGAAAATGTGCCAAAACAAATATTAAAAATAGTGTTTCAGTCTATCACTTCCCCAACGTAATCATCTGTAAATCTTCTGTACCAAGCATTTAAAATTGCATCCAGCCAAGGTAATATCAAAATATATTTTATTCTGGACCTCTTTCAGATCTGATTCAAATTACAGTTGTCAAAGCAATACAATGCAAAGGGAAACTGCAACAGAAAATGTGCCTAGAAGGGATATAAGGGCCCTGGGGACAAATCATTGTGATGTAGAACCAAAATACATCATAAAGTGTAATTAACATGGTCCAGGACAGTATAGAACATCTATATCAGTCTTCTTTAGACAATAATCATGAAAACTGAACAATAAAAGTCCTTTAAACAAGTACAAAAAACTGTCATGGGCTGGTTTACACTTTTACAACAGTTGTAATTTAACTGGATAACTGAAGAAATGATGCAGACATTTTAATCCAGTGCTATAGGTAGGCTCACAGAATTAGACCCAAAGGATTTGTAACTCCAAATGAAACCATTACAACTACAATGTCAATGTCAGGAGAGAGAGAAAATTACTTCTGTATTCTAGAATTACTGTTCTGCACACTGCAGTCTGTTGAGGACAAGATTGCAAAGTACACTGGACTAGCAACAACATGCAGACTGTTTTCTTGTATTTACCCACAAATGTCAAAAAACATTATGAAGTAAAAATGAATGATTATTTAAAAAGAAAACAAAACAAAAACATGCCTCAAGTTATTGTCAAGCTTCAAACTTAAAGGCAGAGAAAGCGAATTATGTACTCAAAACTACTGATCTGAAGCACTATTAACACTAAATCTGCAATCTGCAAGAAACGGCAGATTTTCCTGGTTCGTCTGCCTTCCATCAGACTGACAGTGAAGACAGCCACACTTTGACGGAACATGGTATTTCAGAGCTTTCTCTAGAGGGAGAAGTGAAGACTGCTCCACGGCTCTCTCCCTACGGAAAATGTCAGGGATCTTGATGGAGATTTACTGCTGTCTCCCGAAGCCATATTTGCTTCTAACATGCCACAATGTTGCTTCTGCTTTCTTCAGACTTCTGGAGAGCGTGAAACTGATCCCACTGGGGAGCAGCTCTACAGGACTTTGTGAAGGGAGAAGCTATCGCGCTTGTCAATGGAAAAGGAACACTGGGCTAAATCCGGCAGGCCCTGCTCTGGCAAAACCCTCACCGAGGCCACGGGGAGTCTTGGCTCGGGTGAGATGTGGCTCGTTTTACCTACGCGGCACGCTGTACGGTATTACACAGACCCAACGCCTCCAATGCTTACTCTGGCAAGGTTTTCTCATGAAGTGAAAGACAATGGGATTTCTGGTTAAGTAAAGATTGGAAAAATCGGGTCCCAAGGCTCCTCTTCGCTAAACAGACAAAAAACATACAACCTTTTATTTACAAGCTGAAAAACCCAGTTTGCGATTTTAATGAAATTCCTTCATTCAGCAGAACTAAATGCATCGGCTGCTAAGATTGCTCCGAGGGCAAACTGGCACAACCGCCCTATGCCACCTACTATTCTTCCTAAACACAAAGAACATTTCAAAGGTACAATGTCCCATTAAATACCCTAGCATGAGGTAAGCAGTGTAAGGAAAAAGGAGTGCTTTTTAAAATGAAAATTAATTAAAATTGGTAGAAATCTTTGGCCTTTCTCTCAAGATGCATTAAAGTGTCACGAAATCAAGAAACATGCTTCAAAATGCCATGTCATTCTGACTCTGGTAACTATTACCTCCCTCCACCCAACCCAGAAAAAGAGGCACTTTTAGTGTTTCATATAAGATTTCCAATCATCTAATAGACACGCTAAATAACCCTGCACAATTGTAGTCCCAGAATAAACTGAGTTTATCAACATTACAAAGAGTCTAAAAAAGCTTTTATGAGGACCTAGATATTCTCTTAACTACACTAAAAAGTCCACTGGTTGGGAATCTTTACAACAATTTAAAAATGCAGAAAAAGTAAAGTAAAAATAGAAAAAGAGGAACTCTACAGAAACCTGGACCTAATTACGCAGAAATGAGAAACGGGATTCTGAGATGGATGCATAGAAAGACAGCGAACTCAAGAGCAGTTCATTTCTTAGTCCATCATTCATTCTGAGCCCAGTTTTTCCCCTTCCTTTTATCCTCTGTTTGGATATTTGCCCATTAACATGTTGAACTGGAAAAAATAGGAACTGTAATGTATGCAAAGGCTTATGCACACGTTTGCCTTCACACTTGGAAAACAGGCGCAACAGAATTACTCAGTATAAGACTAAGCATGTGCATACGTTTATACAAAGTTAGGGTCTTACTGACATTTGGCATACTCAATTTAAAGGAACAATTTGGATAGTCTACCTCACTATTGAATACGAGGTCTTTGTGCTATAAAAGATAATAATTAACGTCATGGTTCTCTTTTTTTTTCTTGTTGCTTCACATAATCACAGAACCTAGCACACCTTGCATGCATGCATTTAACAGTGTATAAAACAAGAGGCGAGAAGAGGTGTGAGCAGGAGCAGCACTGTGGCATGCTAGTAAAGGACAACAATAAAATATCTATTGGCCAGATCCTTTGCTAGTGGAAACTGGCACCATTCCACTACAGTGGGGCACTGCTGATTAACACTAGGTTGGGGGTCTCAGCCTGCGCGTCCAGAGCGCTCAAGTCAACAGATCTGACGTTCCTGCTAGACTGTGCTTCAAGCACCTGAAAACCCTGGACCTGTGATACTGAAGCTCTGTTTTATCTATTTCTGAATATGTGGTACTACGCTTAAGCAACTAGAATTACAACCAAAACAGCTGATGATTGAGAAAGAGGAAAATGGCAATACCCTAAAACATGGCTGTGTGATTTTGCAGCTATGTCACAGAATTCCACCACAATTGTTTAGATTGGCTGAAAGAATCATCCAATAACTTTTATGAAAATGAATAAACTGTCCATATTAAAATACAAAAGTACTATCAAGAATCACTTCTGACTTTCAGATTTAAATTCAGTGCAATTGACAAATGCATTGCTAAACGAAAAATGCAGCTTAAACATACTCAAAACATTTGTGTCTATTCCTGGGAGCACAGTTTAAAATTATTGCACAGAATTTTTTTTTTATTTTTATTTTTTTTCATTAAATGACAGAGGTCAGCCACAGTCATGGACCTCCAGCAATAAAAGCAATATTTCAAGTGCCAGACACTCAATATATTAGGTTTCCTACATATTGTAACTCACAGGGTAATTGCTCTAAACATTTGTAATATGTTCCAAAACCCTAAAAATAGCTGGCACCGAACCACCACGTGTGACTGTCTTTATGGATATGACTTTTTGTTGGTTTTAAACGCTGTGTACGATAGTAGTATAATCCTGGGGTATATATAAAAGAATGTATTGTTGACTTCTCTTTACCACTGGCAAATTGCTACCCTACCTTAGCCAAACTCAGACTTGCTTCAAGTCGTGTTTATTCCATGGAAATAGCAGAAATCAATGCCTAAAGAACAATGGTTAAAATGTCAAAGCTGCATTATCTCAATTAAATCAATTTATATCTAACTTGGAGGGGAAAAAAAACAAAACAGAAAAAAAAAGGTTAAAGACTAGCAATCATAAGCCACAAAATTATTTGTGATTGAAATAGTGTTATAAAACTGATAACTTTGCAAAGCTCTGTAATATAAACCATTCCTTAAGTAAAATGCCTGTGACATAAATTTGACAACCTCTCTTTTTATAAATTTACACTCTTGGAATCTTATGCAAGACATGATGCAACCTTTTCAACTACACATACGCGTAAACACAACCTCATGCTATCATTTACAAATAAAATCACTATCAGTATACTTTTAATCACATGAGCAGAAAAAGGTTTGCCATATACATCTGTCATTGTAAGAAAAATACTTGATATTGTAAACAGAGTAAAAGACACTATATAGTAGTGATTATTAAAAAAATAGCAGCTTACATCTACCCTATATTTGGAAAAAAATGTAGTCACAAGATACAATAAACTGCAGGACTGGAGCAGCAGGGGAATTAGTGCAAGTATTCATCTTTTAAATAAGCTGAATCACTGCTATTAAAATAAACTTGAAGCAAGTCCTCTGTTTAAGATTTTTTTTTTAAATCTAAGGTAGTAAACATTTTGCCTCTTAATGGCAGTGTTATCAAATATATGCCAAAGATTTTATTTTAATAAAGAAAAATTACATGAGATACTTTTAATACTGGAGTTTGGTTACAATTATACATCTAAGCTCCTACAAATAATGATGGGCAACTCTCAGAGAAGCTGTGGCATGAGCCCTTGTCCAGAAAGATCTTAACCTCTTAAAAACGATCCCCCAGCTATACTTTGCTCCTTTTCACAATAGTGCACAATTTAACCATATTTTAGCTATGGTCTTAAAGCAACAGAAGATGCATTTTTTCCTCTTTTTTGTCTTTTTTTTTTTTTTGCATCCCTGTATTTTTTCTTTTTTGTATTTTTGTGCCCTTCTATTCTTAAGTTTGGCAGAATTATGTCCCAAATAAGAAACTACTGCATTTCAGCCATGTCACCAGAAAAAAAAAACCATAGCATTATACCCATTACTGTCATACTTCGTAGGTGAGCAGGACGTGAAATACCACGCCTCAAAGGATTTTTTTTTTCTTCTCTCTCCATAATCCCTTTTCCACCCTCCCTCTGTTCACAAAATTGTGCTCTGGGAGCCACAAAATGTACCAAACATTATCAGGTTCAATCTACCTCTTCAAAGAATGCATTAAAATATGTTTCAAAGAAACATTTTTTTCCAAGGTGAAAAAAATATAAACACGAAACTAATTCACTCCCTTACTTCATGCATCCGTAAACTTAACCAAAACAAAACAGAAAACCCAATGTTTAAAAGCAAAGAAAAAACTACTGCTGCAGATTTCTGTAAGTCCATTTTCTCTGTACACACGAACTGCTCAACTACTGAGAAGGAAAACAAAAATACCCCACAATCCATTGTCATAATGGATTTAAAGGGGGGAAGGGGTAATGAAGGCTGCCATTAGTATCTTCTGAATTTGGTATGTATATGGGTCTGCTCTTGTATACGGTATATTTCTCTCTCTCTCGCTCTCTCTTCTGTTTTTCATATCCAAAACCTTTAAATGTTATTTTGGGGCACAGCAGATTCCAGCACTTGGTGAACAGGATTCACAAGCTGTGACAAAACTCTGTCATCCTCTTCAGGGTGTAATTTTTTTTTTTTCTCTTTTTTTATATACAGTATATGTATATATTTCTTGTATGTTTGGCTGTAGTGGACTGGCCATGGTTCAATTGGGACTATAGCAGTACATGGGTCAGGGACAGTCATTTTGGCTATGTACACATTCATAGTCGGTCCATGGCTTCCAACTAGTAGCGCTATTTCCGTAGGTCTAATACACAAACCTGTAAGAAAAAGAAATACATATACAGAAATTGCACATTGCGCAATATTCCACATTTATACAATTCTGTGTGAAATATCTGAGCAACACCTATGAAACAGATTGTGCAAATTTCATCTTGTATCTCTTAACAATAGATTGGGGGGGAGGGGAGGAATCACCAGGTGAGCACTTTGGTTATGAGCACCCAGCCAGACCTGCTAAGGGTACTGCTGCCTAATGAATTACTATCAAAACATTAACAACTAGTTAATGTTCTAGTTCTAGTTCTGTCAGATATAGAAATCTACTAGTAAAATATAATCATATAAAAGCTATGCTTTTAGCCATCAAACAGTTCAAATGTGCCTCTATTTGCTTAGTTATTATGAGCTGTAAGTTTATTTATATTTAAATATATTTAAAACCGAGGGGATGAGGAGGGCTTTTGCTAGCAAACAATATAAAACAAAATAAAACCAACATTTTTGAAAGAGCAAAAACTAAATGAAAACCAATCTGTTGCAAGTACAATCAGCCTCTTGGGTCAAATTAACTGGAAGACTGGAAAGGTTACACAGCACGTATATAAAAGGGTCATCTAGGGTGGAATAGTAATTAATTTCTACTCAGGATATGCCTTGAGCTTTTGTTCCTCTTATGATATTGTCTATGCTTATAAGACTAAAATGATATGAAAGACCGATCAAAATTAATTCTCTAGAATTTAGTCTACTTAAAATTCAGAACTTCCTATTTTCTGTTCTGAACTCTAACAAAGCAATCTCACTTACCAGCATGGGGCACGCAGGACAGGAGAACGCTTTGGCGCGTGTGTTAAGATACTACCTGAGACTCTGGACTACAAAGCTACCAGGATTGCTTTTTGCTGACATTTGTTACTTTAAGCTACAGCACTTCAAAATACAATTCCTTTATCACTCTTATTTTATTCTAATTTTGCTTTTCCTTAGGCGCTCTTCTCCTTTCTTTTAAAACCATGGCAAAAGAGAGGCAAGCAAAAAACAACTATTGTAACTCGTTATGAAGAACTGCATGTTAATATTTTACTGCAGTACTTTGCAGGCCAATGTCAGAAGACCTAGGAGGTGATGCCACAATACACCACTATGAGATGATAGAGCGTGCATTCATGATTAGTTAAACACATGATTTTATTCTCTGCTTCTTCTAAGCAATGGAAGCAGACTGGTATTTACATATAGTTCCTGTCATTTTTAGGAACTTTTTAATTATGAGCATTCAGAAGTTTGTACTTTGTTTTGCTGCTCTTTCTGTTGAATGCAGTGCATAGGATATTTCATTCCTATCATGCATTACAATAATATCACCTACACTGAACATTTTCACTCGAAAAGGGCAAAGAGGCAAAAATGAACTTGCTTCCAGACTATAATGAAAAGACCAGCCACAATGAACACATTTCCATGGTAAGCCCCAGGAGGGACAGAAAATTTAAATCAGAGGCATCTTCACCTTCTGAGATCTTCAGAGGGTTTAAAACAGTAATGCATTAAGCTGGAATAAAGACATATTCTCCTTTCAAAATTACAGCATCCTTATATGCGAAAACCTACATGTGAGCTGGCTGTATTAAACTCCAGCTACAGAAGGAAATTGTCTCCATTGTTAGTCGAAAGATTTCCAGAAGATGCTTTTCGTTAGAATGTCAAACAAGTCAAGCTGCACTTACTGAACCATCTGAAGCACTTGCTCCAACTTTGTCTCCTGCTGCATTCCAGCAAACCTCAAAAATCCCTCCTGTTCCCCGATAACTGTGAACTAGGGCACCTGTCTAAAAAGGGACAAAACATGTAATTAATATAACAAAATCCAAGCAAACAAGTAAAATTTGTACAACATGTAAGACTTCCCCGCTGCCTTTAGAAGCTGAAATTCTCAGCGGAAACAGTCCAGATGAGACTCATGGACAATCTCAGCACTGCGTTAAAGGTCGTGACAAACACAATTACCACATCTTGATCTCTTGTGTTTGACAGGCAAAACTGAGGATGGTCATGACTACTTCCAATTACTAAAATGAGCCTTTCAAAAATTAATAGCCAATTCCCGGAAGCCAAAGATCACATCTTGCCTAACGAGGTCTTTAGACTTTCAATTGCAATCAGCCCTTTTTTTGCCAGAAATACGAAACAAGTAATAGTGTCCTTTCTTAGAAGGTTCTGTAGAAACATTTTGTTGTCATCTTCTCTCACTTTATATTCTCTTGTCTTTCAGTGAAATTCAATGAAATAGCTATCAGATTTGTATGTCTACATCCAGCCATCATTTTTCACTGCAAACCTGTTTTATCAGGAGTTTAAAGTTCAGAGTTAACAAAGAAAATATTTGGATGCAACATGTTATTGGAGACACTTTGTTGAATACGTTTTGTTGTTTTTTGGTGGTGGTTTGGGGGGGGTTGTTTGTTTTTTTGTTTTGTTGGTGGCGTTTTTTTTGCTAAGTAAAGATAATGTAAAGACAATTATTACTTCACCATAGGCAAGCACTCAAAGAGAGAAATTAAATGTACATGCATTAACAGAAGTAACCTTAGAACAAAGAGAAAGCGAATCAGTGTGTTAGCAAGGGCAAAGCTCTTTGTGGCCGAAACACCATGGAGCAACAAAGGTTGGAAGGGTCCTGATGGAAAAGGCCAAAACACAAACTTCTAAACAGACAGAAGAGCTATACCTGTGTATTCCAGATGTGTACACATTTATCAAAGGAGCCGCTGGCCAGGTACCTGCCATCAGGACTGAAAGCTACACTGTACACAGGTTCTTGATGTTTTGTCAGAGTATGAATACAAATTCCTCTGTCTACATCCCATAACCTAACAGTAGAATCAAAGGATGCACTGTCAAGGGAAAAAAACACAGATTAATTACATCTCATTTTGACATATTTTTGTTTCTAATATAAACACAAAATGATAAAGAATTCTACATGCTTCAAAACATTCTGTGAACCTACATATATAAAGAGTGAAGTAAAAATAATGCTTAACAGACATTTAAAAACAGGATTAAATAGTACCTTGCTAACATAAGATTGGCATTTGGATTATTTGTTCCTGGTCCTGTAGGACTCCATTTGATAGTATAAATTTCTTTGTTGTGTGCTTGTAAATCATGGACACAACTGTCTTGTTTCATACTCCAGATCTATGATAAAAACGGAAGAAAACACAAAGACATTTAGCACAATATTGTACTAAAATACATTTTACATCTTTCTTCTTTATCATTTGCAGCCTGGCTGCAACCTTGTAGGCCACTCAGAACATCTGCTATGACTGCTGAGTTTCTAGAGTAATTATGACAAGTATTATCCCAGTACCCTCCATTCTTTGAGTTTTAAGTACCTGACGGGGTTAATGAGTAATAAAGGTACTGTCTATAGAAACTAATCTGCATGTGCTAACTACAAGCCCCTTGAAAAGTGCAGGGATGATAACAGATGCTAAAATGAGAAGAGCAATATGTATATGTTCATGTCTGAGTTGACAAAACATCACAGTCCTATTTTTAAATGAACTTCTTGCTACACAGATTGAGTGAAATAACGGGATAGTAGAGAAATTTTCTATTTGCATATAAAGCCATAGATGCAGACTGCAAAAAACATTATGGCATTTTCCTGGCTTATTAGGATTTGCATTGCCAGGTGTTTGTTCAATACTTCATACAAAGGAGGAGTTCCTTAGGACTCCAACTCCTGCATGATAAACTTCAACAAACAAAATAACTTTATTCTATTAAGAGTTTGCATTGCATACAGAAGGGGTTTTGGAAGGCTTTTATACCTGTTCCTAAATGTCAAACTTGATGTAGTAGTTAATCATCTGAATGCTTTTTTTAATGATATCTGGTTTAGTGCTTTTAGCTCACCTCTTGTTAGAAAAAGCTAACAGGAGCATGTTTAAGCTCAACTGTATTTAAGATGCAATTGGGGTGTACATTTAAATGAATGATGCTTTTCAGAACTGGTGCCTCACTGAAGGGGAAATTGATTTTCAATGTGCACACAGAATTAAAATTGTATTTCCAGTTTAAATTGACGGGATCAAAATCTAGCTTCTCTTCCCAAAACTAGTATAGATGAAAAGAGTCCATATTAGCTGCCCTATAGAATATCAAGTTGGCATCAGAAGAGAGAAAAATCAATCAATCACTAGACATCTTCCATATGCTTCAAAACCTGACATTCATTCCTACTGCCATTGAAAAGTAAGTGATCCACAAGTGATTAGTGATGTGTAGACTTATCTACAAGCAATTGGTCTTCCAGTTAATACTGAACAAAATGAAAAAATTCTTTCCAGGCTGGGCTGGATTCAAAACAGCAACCAAGAAGTCAATCGCCTGAATTGCCTGAGCCCTCAAACGGTGACATGTTCCCAGTCATCACACCTCTACTCACTGAGGTGCAGCAGCAACAGCTTGAGCTCTAGATTGGAATTCATTTCACCTGAGTTTCAGCTGTCTAAGTATTAAATATCTAGCTTAAGCTGGCTGTTTTGACTCCATCCATTGCCAATGGAGAACAACTAATGCTCCCAGGGGTTTACTCATCACACTTGACTTAGCCACTTAACTTCGGAAAGGATGAATTGCTCTTCAGTGGTGCTAGTCACTCTGTTGACTAAAGATGTCTAGACATATAGCTTTAGACTGGAGGCTTAATGCTTAAATGTTTATATTTAGATAAGGTGATTTCCACTGCAAGTGCCTGACTGTGTGCCAGCACAGGAGGGGATATCTGGCTGCTCATTCAGCCATCCCCTGTCTCTGAATAAACAATGGTGAGCTAGATGGAAATAACTGTCCCAAGGACAGCACTGTCAACATAAAAAAACATATCCTGAAACTCTACTAAACATAGTGCTAAACACCTACTAAATATAAAGCCGTATGGGAGTAATGGAAAAGGATCCGTAACATGGGAACAGCACAGGCCTGTCAGACATGAACAACCTCATTTCTTCTACTGCATCTAACCTGGTGGTACTTTTGTCTGGATCTATAGTGCACCTTGAAGTCATATGTGTAAGTTACAGTATTCCCTGCATTCACAAGTTTGCCCCAATTATTTGGAGGAAAAGTCGAGGTGCAATTGAAAACTGTAGAATGACTCCTGATGAATTGGAAAAACCAAGGAGTACACAGAGTTTCTTAAGAAACAATATGCCAAAGGTTTTAACTGGAAAGAAGGGGAAACCAGAAGAAAACCAGGAAAGGAGCTAGTCACCCATTCTTGTATGCTTTACACGACATGCATTCCAACTCTTCCTTTTAACCAAAAGCAACCATCAAGTGTGACAGCTTAATGATTAATGACCTGATTCTGTAAACAGCTAAAAGCACCTAATAAATCATGCTCCAAGTCTCAGGGTGGCAGCCTGTAACAAGTTCTCTGGACCAAAGCTTGGCTCTGATTAACAAGGATTTGCTAGGATTGCCTAATCTTGTTACATTAAAAAAGAACAAATATTAGACAACACGGCAAGTACAGTGATACTGCTGGATTGCTCGAGCTAATGGTGTGCATTCCAGAGTCCTACAAAGACAAGAGCCAGTACCAGAACTCCCGTTACCTTTAGAGTCATATCATCAGAGCAGGATGCCAGAAGATTACCAGTTGGATCCCATTTGATTGCATTTACTTCATTCTAAAATTGAACAGTGAGAATAAGTTGGAGTCTTCACTTCCATTACAAATGACAGCTTACGAAAGATAAAGTTGGACAGCAGTTATGAGTATTTGTATAATTGTCAGTATTTTAACACTTAATTTTCATTCCTAGCTTTGCCTTCAATAACAACAACTTTTTGCTACCTGTTCATCACATTTTCCCATGCGTGCCCTTACACGACATAGGCTGTGCATAGCCAAGTCTTAAAGTTACCATGTTTCTTCTTCTAAAGCTCACTTTTTTGCTATGCCATCCTGGCACTAGTAAAAAACGCTGCACATTGGAGTGAGAATTGTTCTAACAATGATAGAGACTACAGTTACCATATGACCTTAACTACAACTACCTGAGTATGTATATCTATTGCCTGTTGCCAAAGACCAATGATTATACAAGTGCTGTATACTGGCAAGTATACTGGGCCCACAATCTCTCATTAATAAAAATATCATATAGCAACCCCCAATTTTCCAGTACTTACTGTGTGACCCTGGAAGGTTTTGATGGGCCTATCTTGTCCTAGTTTACAGACATGAATACACATGTCTGTACTGCAAGAGGCAAATGTGTTGTTACTCTGCCAATCAACATCTAATGCTGGTGCTAAAAGAAAAAGAAAGATATTTAAATCTATGGTATGTATTCTGCAGAAGTTTGATTTGCAGATTCAGCATGCACCACCTTAGAACAAATGCCAACAGGAAGCAACCATTAATTTCACAGCAGTTCTAAAGATAATCAAACACTATAAACAGTGAGAAATGCAGCCAAAACCAGTCTTACACAAAAAAATGAAACAAAATTTAATAGAAGTCATTAAAACATGGAACATATCTGAAATGAAACAGTTATACAGAAGACAGTGCAGCAGGACAACAAGCTGTAGTTAAGTCATCTATAAATAAATCTCAAGAGCCAGCATGAGGAACAGGTTCCCACAACTTAACACATCGTCGTGCATAAGCTCATCTCCACTAACAGTCCATGCTTGTGCTGATAGATGGCAGCCAGTGAAAGGTAATGATTTATTTCCTTTCTTTAATTCCAGCATTATAAGTTGTGGTAACTTGAAGCTTGATCATGGGCGATATATTCCATTTGATCAAGCCAAGATATTTATGGCAGATAGCACACAGAATTGCTTGGAGTAAATCAAGAATTGATGTTTTTGATTGTTGTTATGCCACTGAAAACGTAGTGCGAGCGGAATAAAAAATGGAAACGAGACACATTTCTTAAAGGCCCTTCAATGACATGTTCGTCATCCTCTCTATTCTATTTTCCAGCTGATTCTGGCAGGCTTGCACAGCATGCAGCCCACAAAGCAATTTGTCTGACCTCCTGAGAGGCTGCACTCTCATCCCAGCTGGCCAGTGAACAGCCTTTCAGCTGGTTTGTGGCCAAACAAATTGGGGACAGCACAGCAGGCAGCGCAGAACAATTGGATGCGAAGCTGGGATTACTGTAGCAGGAAGATGACAAATGCAGTCCTTAGCTGATAAACACAAATCCTTTGTGGCCCACCCACTTGATTTGTCTGCCACTGTACTACAGAAAGTCGGTAATATTTGCATTATCTCTTACGACTTTCATAGAACTGCAATAAAATTGTGAGTTATAAAGTTATAAAATCAGAACAATTCTATCTTTGTTTACATTCTCAAAATTCATAAGACTACAAATATGGGAGTCAGTATCCAATGCCTATGAGATTTCAAAATGGTGTAAATAGGCACCATAAACTTCAGATTTTTTAATTTATTTTAATAAATAACACTTTTTTCATCTTTTCAGATGACAAACCTGAATGATCAAAATCAAGACTTACCAGAATGAAAAGGAAACTGCTGCTTGGCTTCGCCAGTGTGGGCATCCCAAATAATTGTGGTCTGTATTAAACAGATAAATAAACAATAAACAAACTTGTACAAATTGCTAACTTCCCCACAACTACCACCATTCACATGTATCAGACTACCTAGCCTACTCCCCATTGCCCAAACCTGCTCCTGTTTATATATTTCTAGTGTTTTACCCAGTACTAAAGGAAATGGTAGTAGATGTACAGACAACAGTAGAAAACCTTAATATGTTGCAATATTAGAAAAGTGTTTGATCACAACATTTTGGGGTCTGGAGGGAAGAAGGGGGTTGTGGGTCTTTTTTTAAAAAACAAAAATGAAACAGGTTTATCTTCTTAGTCCTATTTATATTCTTGTAATCCACTCCACATATCTATTTTAATTTCAAATACTTGTATATTCAAATTGTAGTTTCAAATACTCATTTGTCCTTAAGGAAATCTTTATATGAACAGTCAGTCTCATACTCAAGAATCTGAAAGATTTGATTTAAAGGTGTAATTTTGTTCTGAGTTGTTCTCTGCCAATACTGCTGATATCCTTCTGATGAAAGAAATCTTACATGACAAAATTAGTATTTTATAATCACTATATTATATGCCAATATTCCTGACCTACCTCAACGATCAATGAAAATTTTGACACTTAATTCAGTGGAAGCATGAACCGACCACACAAATTATTTATGGAAAAAAAGCATAAGGCTGGGTCAATCTTTCCGCTAATGCAGGATATTTTTCAAAGTATAATCTCAGTTGCTTTGTCCAAGGAGTTTTATTGACTGAAACGAGGCTTCTATCTCCTCCAGAATATTTTTCTGCAAATTAAAGCTGTACCTCCACAAAGATTTAAAAACCGGCATAAGCCATCACAGCTGCCAAAAGAAGAAACCCACCCTTTCCATGCTTTGAGACATTTACTTTTCCTTCCTTTGTACCAGCACAAGCATTTATAAAGCTGGGCACTAAAGCAAACCAGGTTAAATGCGTGCAAGAAAAAAATAATAAATAAAGGAGAAAATCTACTACTTTCCAGCAACACTGCCAGTTTTAAGTACTGTGGTCTTACTGAGCTTGCAGTTTGCCAGTGTCACTAAGGGAAAGCCTGTGTTTACTTCTGCACCTAGAATCAGATACAGAGGAAAAACTAAACTCTTCTCATTCTATGAATAGTCTATTCTAGTCTTTGAATTTGTCTTAAGTCTATTCTTCATCACTATATGCCCTTCCTACCATTCATAAAATCTCTCACGCTAACAACAGCTTTGAATTTAAAGACCTTGTGAGTCTTTAAGTTTGTTTAGAGGTGTGAAATAAAACACAGTTAAACAATGAGCTTCCTGGCATTGCGCTGCTGGCACCTCCCCAGTCAGATATATTGACTTTTCTTATGTTCCAGCTCTAACCTTTTTAACCATTCTCAGGCTTGACTGATTCCAAATCAGCCTGAACCATTCCTCCAGTGCGATTTTTTTATGAGGCTTTGCATAAAGTACTTCACTAAATTTTACATATTCAGTTTTACAAAGGTTTAATGTTCCTGTGTTCAATGCACTTACTTTCCAACTTAGGCTAACCTAATGGGGAAGAGATCCAGGGACACTGAAATCTAATAAATGAAAATATCTCAGTAAACTATTATAAAACACAAGGAAACACAGCTAGCATAACAAGTTCTTTGTAAGTACATATTTACGTCCCATGCCTTTAGTTTACTTTACTTACTTTCTATAGCTTTGCTATTATGCGTACAATGAGATTATAACGGTGAAGGAAAGAATTTTCATTTTACCAAAGATTATCTCACCTTGTCCACTCCTGCACTTAAAATGAAGTTTCCTTTCTTGTTCCATTTTAACGCAAATATAGGACCTTTATGTTGCCCTAAGGTGCTGGCAAGATTACCTGAAAATTTATATTGATACGAATACATTAAAAAAATAAAAAACTATGCTGTGAGCCAAAATACAGAAAAATATACTGGAAATTAAAAGTATTTCACTTACCATCTTTAGTCCATATCCTTGCAAAGCCATCATAAGACCCAGTTGCTAGAAGTGTACCTTCACTCTGCCAGCAAAAAGGTTATTTAATTTATTTATTTTTACTGTATAACTCAAAGCTAAAGAGCACAAAGCAAATTGCAGAATACATCTGCATAAGATTTATGATATTTATTCCATTGACTACAACTTATTAAAAAGAAGTCCCCGAAGTACAATACAAGAAATTACAATGCAACTCAAAAATAGAAATATTTCAGGAGCGGTAGCAGAGGATGCACAGTGGCTGTCACTTAAAATTTGACTATGCAAAATTATAGGTACAATTTTCTCGGAGTATTTTGAGCGCTGCCATTTCTACTTACGTTCCAATCCAGCGATGTCACGTCTTTGTTGCTGGGTACATCCTGCCCTCCTTCTCGTATACAGTGTCGAAGTACCAGCTGCGTAGAGCCGCTCGTGCTGTTTTCACTGAGGTTCCATATCCGTGCTGTCGAATCTCCAGATCTATGAAACAGTTAATGAGAATATAACTCCTTCTCTCAGTTAATTCAATTTTAAAAAGTATTCTTTTCAAAACAGCAAACATTGTGGCATTTGATGTAGCGGGCGTTGGGGCAGGTATTATTTTAACTTGTTACCATCAACATACAGAAGTATGCCAATGATATTGCATACATACATGGTTAATGCACATACCCTGAGGCCAAAAGGTCACTAATGGGATTCCAGGCACAGATGAATACTTCAGATTCATGGCCACGCAGCACCACTGCCTTGTTGGGAGGGATTTCAACATCTCCATCTACTTCCATCATATCTGTGTGATTATCTGCATTATGGGAAACAACAGTAGAGAGAGGTGGATTTTAATATTTTGGGACAATACATTGTAACTACTGTATAGTTCATATTCTTCTGGGATGAGCATAACAATTAACCCACAATTTACGTGGATCAAAATTTGACAAAGCTGTAATGTTCCTTTATTTTTCCAATTCCAATTTATGAAGTACTATAAACAGATGGGGAGTTTCAAAAACGCAAGAAAGCTCTTTGCCCTTCTAAACCTCAGCATCCAAATGGATTTAATTTTGAAACTTCAAAATTGAGGCCAAAAGTTAACTTTTTGCTATGTTAAAAAATAAACGCTGATGTTAAAAGTACTCTCAGTTTTTCAGGCACGATACTGCATAGTACAATATGTTACTAGTCTATCTTGTGCTTTAAAAATATGTTTAAAACATTCATTTTCAAAAATCTCTTTTCATCAATTGCAGTAAAACAGGTTTTAAATATACATCTCAGACACTTAATTTACAAAATGGCTTTAATTAATATGATAACATTTGGTGATACAGTAAACTGATAACAGAGCTTTTCAAACTGCACCAGTAATTACCATGGAATTGTGGCAATACATAGCTTTCTGCGTGGAAGTGATGTTGAATCCATATTGTTCTGAAAAACATATTGGGGGTAATTCAACTGACAAAACGGTTTTCTTGGCAGCTACCATCAATCATTTTCTATTATTAAAAATAAATTCACACTGAGTGTAACTGCAGAATATAAAAAATGCTGAACAGTTCACCTGCTCCGTATTTATTGACTGTGGTTAAACAAACAGTTTCACATCTATTGCTTAATTTAACATTAAGGGTTTCTGTCACTGTTTGTATGTGTGAGAAAACAGAAAAGACTGTTAGAACATGCATATTTTTAAGAAAGAGCACCATATAAAACATTGCTTCGATTAAAGAGAATCAATGCCAATATAATTTGGTGTACCAGCCAGTAGGGGTTGCTGGAATATCACATTTAACATTGGCTGAGGTCTGAAGTTTATGCTTACTCTCTCCAGTTCACAGTTAACAAGTAAATATTCTTTTGAGATTTTTAAATGAAAACATCGAAGTAGAAAGCTTATTTGTTTAAGCCAAAGATTATATTTTCAGTTTATTTACCACATATAAATAATGAAAATACTAGGAAAATCCAGCTGTAAAATGCAAAACTTATACATGGCTTGATATGAATATTCTCTGAAAAATGTCTTTTCTTCAGGTGCTTTTACAGCAAGAGCTGTAACTCCCCCTCTCAAATGTGTAATTCAGACTTCCAGAACAATATTTTCAAAATCACATTTTAATGCCTGACTTGAACTTTTCTATACTAAGCCTTACTGTAAGGTATGTTCCTTTTACTAGTGATGACAAATAAAACTCACTTGTTTCACCAATCACAACTAAAATGGAACCAATGAATAAACCAAACCTGCAAGCAGTTGCACCAAATAATTCCGAACAGCAAATCATGAAAACTGATACTGATAAAGGAGACAAATGACAGAAGATTTGTCTCACCAACCATGATGACACCTCAGCATGACAAGGAAGTCTGTCCTACACAGAGCCGGTTACAGCTCTCCGATTCACAGGGTTAGCAGAACCTGTTAAAAGTAGTTCGTGGAGCTTCACAAGCAATGCTCAGTTTTAACCAGCTGCAGATTAGCAGACTCCTCTCCTTATTCTTTGTACAGGGGCCAAAGCTGAGGAGATGCAATATTTAAAGAGTTGTCTCTGATTTTTTTTTTTCCTCTTTATGCAAGAGCTCTCAGAGAGTCCTGTGAAAAACCTTCAGGTTATAGGTAAAGAGCAGTACTGGAAGTGAGACTGGTCAATGGAATATTGTGAATTAATGAATTCAGAAGTTTGCACCTCCTCCTGCAATTCCAAATATCCGTCCAAATATCAGACTGCGGACAGTCAAAGGCGAGACACCATCTGTTAAAGTATCACCTATGACAAAGGTATTCTCTGCAAGCTGAAGGGTTACTACTACCTCTACACATTTACCTCATTGTCGTACTCGACGTATCACTGTACGAGTTCATACTATGATAAATGACAAGGAAATTATGTTAGCATAGGTTAAGGTCATTTCTGTCTCAACTTACTTGCTATAGTATGTGCTCCATTCTCTTCTCCATTTGCAGTATTTTCTCCATTTTTCGCTGATCCTTGTTGGTTAGTCGCGGCTGCAGCTGCAGCAGCTGCTGCCTGCTGTTGTGCAAGTTTATCTCTGTAGGCCTGTTGTCTTGTCTGTACCACATCAGGCATTACTGCATCTATCAGTGAGAGAGACTCTATCGGCCTACCATCAAACAAGGTACCATCCTAAATTACAGCAGAGGGAGAAAAAAAAGACAACACCAAGTACAAATTAACATTATGGGCAAAAATTCCAAGGAAAACTAAAGCAAAAGTTGTGATTTTAATATAATAAAACAGTTTACAAATGGTGCTGGAAGTGATACCTCATCATTATTGTGGTTAGGATTGGCATATTAGTCTAAAGTTAAGTGGCCACCATAAATATGCAAAAAAAGCCACCGCAGGCCTCTGGCAGAGCTTCTGGAATTAAAAGTTATGCTTCGAGTTTGCTAAATTGTCTGCTAAAGCAAAAAATTCTGTAAGCTATCTATGAATATGATTTCAAACATGAGTGGCTGCAACAAAATCTAATGGTTTCTTTGAAGAGCTACAAACATTGCAAGTCAGGTCACTGGCTTGTGAAGTTATTCTATCTTATTAGACTAATACTTTCCATAAACACATTATCTGGAGAGCTGACTAGTTTTCTTCCTTTTTTTAAACAGTGCTGGCATGCTTTCAAACAACAAGGAAGAATTTTATCCTGAAATGGACAAGACTCAGTTAAAAATACCCTTACACATATCCTAGGGCTTTGTAAGGATCTATTTTTAGGAGCTAGAAGGATTCCTTGCGATAAATATAGGGTCTCCTTCTTCTATTCCAATCATTTGCTTTATTTTTCTGAGGCTTCCTAAGGCAAAGGATTTGCTTCACTGGGACTACGAAAACTCCACATAAACAGCAGACATAAGGGAGACTGGAAAGAGAGGAGAATTAGTGAAAAAAATAGTTTCCTTCCGTAATATAACTGAGACATACAAAGGCTGCTAACCTTCCAGGCATAAATGAGAATGGAAATTGAGGGTGAGTATCTGCAGCATCAGGCAGGAAGATACATAGCTTTCTGTACTGCTGGAATAACCATTTAAACATCAAATTTAATAGATCCTGCTCAAGATGAATTAGCCAGCAGAGGCAAAAAGCAAACTGGCATATACCTTCATCCTTCCTGCCACAAATTGAAACCCTCTCTCTATTTGGAAACCTTGCCTTTGGGCTCTCATTACTTCATTATAATGACAAATCACCCAAATGAGAGCTGCACAGTGCTCTCCCACCTCCCTAGTGCAAGTGTACAAAAACAAAAATTAAGAGGTTACTTGTCTCAATGATTATCTTATTGCACTTGTCTGGATTTACAACATTATATTAGGGTAAAAACTCTACAGACAACGGACCTTTAAGCAATGAGCCAGAACACCATGCCTGGTGTTGTGTGGCTGCACTGGGCAGAACCCCTACCCAGTTATGTCACTCCATTCTGGTTCCACCACTGGAGTCATGGTGAACACCAGCAGTAAGGAATCTGAAGTAAAAGTAGATAAATAGGATACAAGAAAGTTAAGAAAAAATACTAACATTCAAGCTTACTGCAAGCAAGGACATAATGCTCCTGTAGGCAAAGCCTCCTTACCTCATTAATACTGACTTCTGCCTCTACATACTGCAGACCTTTCTGGATGATGGAAATCAAAGCAGCTGGTGGCACCAGAGCACCATTTATATTAGACTGGCTGATATGGCTCTCTATACCAAAGGTAAATGCTGAATGGGAAAACCCTAAAGACAAGGCAAAGACATCAGAATTGATTTATAGATAGAAAATGCTACTTGCCATACCACTGTAGGATCTTCTGTTTACAAACCTAAGCAAATTATACGAAGTTATAGCATGCTTATGAACTACAAAAAAACTCGTCAACACACCTCTGTTGTTTCCCTCATACGTTTCCAGTTTAAATGTACAAAAAGAGAAAAACAAAGTTTCTATATAAACACAGCAATTATTAATTATGCTATCATTGGCAAAACATTTGTGCATGACTAAATATAAAAATATAAAATACACAACTTGCAATGGCATTTACATATATTTATATATTCTCAAACTATATCTATGTATTGTATCATACACAGCATTTAATAAAATATATATCTCCAAGGCACCAAGACTTACTTGTTATTTTTACTCACTGATTTGTTACCCATGAAAGTGAAATGGATCTGTATGTAGAACAGAATTCACTTCATGGTACAGTGCTGTCATAATTGTGTATGTTTTGGCACTTAGAACTACATCAGTATTGTGTACTTATTGAGAAGTGGCAAGCATGTTATGGTGCAGCACTGGTAGTTGCTTGCTATTTATTTGATCACCCTGAAAAGGCGAATTTAACCTAGAGAAAAATAGTTGTTTCAGCAAATTAACTTTACTGTCACAGAATTTTTTCTTAAACTACTTTTTTTTTTTTTTTCCTTCCCCTGTCAGGTAACTAAGAAGCTGCCTGCAAACTTTCAAATGAAGATAAAGCAATTTTGTAAGTTTGGCTTCTGTGACAAAAGCAATCTGCAACTGAAATAAGAACATGTAATAGTTTTTAGTAAATTCAGGCAGAACAAGGAGTTTCTGCTTTCTTCTGACAAGCAGAGACGGAAAACCTCTGCCATCCACCAGTGTTTTGTCTCAATTTGAGAAGTCCATGAGCAGTGGACATAAGCAGTGGGCAGATGTTGCATCAGTCAAATGCATTTTCAAGAACCCTGAAGCCACTCATCAGCAATCACTAAATAAAACTATGAATCAGTAGATGTTGAAACAGCAAGGTAACATATACATTAAAGCTGATCCCTTACATTGTTATCTTAAGATTGGAGTTTATTTTTGCTTTAATATGCAGAACTTCTTTTACGTATTACTAAGATCATATTCCCTCTTGCCAGTTGACAATCATCACTTGTTCAGTTACTGGGGCATGCCCTGATTTCCAGTCAAATCTACCTGTTCTAAATGTAGGCTGCTTTAAGCAATCAATATCATAGCTGTGAGTAAAAGATAACGTTGTCTCTTACATAGCTTCAAGAACAACCACCACCACAAAACCCTCTGCAGCCATATGGCTGCATCTAGAAACCCAAACCTTGAACACAAACTCAAACTGCTGATCCGACTGGGTTTGGGACGTTTTAAAAATAAATATTCCTGCTTGTATTTTACGGACACAGTCAGTTTGGACAAATACGACAGGAAAAAAGTTTCTTTTCAAGTTTGACAATATTCAACTGTCTTTTGCTCTTACTCCTAAAAAGCAGGAGGCTTTGGCTAGCCTGACACCCAAGGACAAAATCCTCCAAGAAAGTGTCCTGCAGGAAGGGAGGCTTTTGAGAACCCAAGAGTTATTCCTGTAAAAAATCTGTTCATCTGTATTTAGATTCAAATGATACAAGTCATATGGTCACAGTTGCCACTTCTTCCTTTGAAATACAGCAACACCTGCCCTCCCACAGTCACATTCAGGCAAGAAATTCGGCCATGCAAGACCAGCTCACAGGAACACCGTCACTCCAAGACAGAACAAGAAGAAACAGTATTTTGGTGGTCATCCTTTCTTCTTCTTCAAGTAGCCACAAACAAAATGGTGCAAAGTGTCATCGTCACCCTGTAGATAAGTGATCTCCAGGAAAGTGCATTTCTAGCAATCAAGTGAGTCCTTAGTTGGTTGACTGCCATCTGAAGACTCCAAATGACTAAATCTGATTAAGTTACAGAAGGTAACTTGGCAGGAATTCATTCTCTTGTTGAGAAGAAACACCAAGAAACAGTTCAGACAGAAGCACATGCCTACTGGCAAATTAATTAATTGAGTTTGCGTTTGCTAAAGCCGGTTGCAGATGAATACCAAATAAATTATGCATTGTTTAACAACCAAATGGTAAAAACTCACCTGACTCTTGCAAGTATCTATATACCAGGAAGTTAACCTCATCACTGCTTATACTCATCTTTATTCCCAGTTAAACCATGAGGTCACAACAAAGGACACAACCCTGAAAATAAAAAAGTAGGTCAATTAAATATTTTTAGTACCTAATATGTATTTCTCAACAAATGCTGTATTTATAAAGCAAGTAGCTCCCTGGCAGCATAGAGAATGGTTTTATTTTATAATGCAAATAAGGCTACTGAAGTCATTAAAAAGTCATTTGTCTCACCACAACATAAAGGTCAGTAAATTAAATATTGAAGGGCTGGATTCTCAAATGATGTGAATCGGTATGGACTGGGGAACTATGCCACTTAATACCAGTACTAAAAAGGCCTCATTTCATGGGTTTTTAAAAAATAATCAAGTGAGTTCCATCTAATCAACATTATTGCTATGGAACACATTTTTCAAAATGTGGATTTCTCTCTTCCTGGCTAACAAAGACCAAGAACTTGGTTTCACATTGGTACCCAGCCGAATTCTCACTTTTACTTTCTACTTCAATTTACAGGTACTCCTGCTCTAGTAAAAAGGTGCAATATGGGCTACAACACTGTATCTGTTCAAAGAAAGCCCAGCTATTTCCACTAAAAATTAGAAAACATCTCAGCCATACACTTATGCTTTCTTTGCAAAAGGAATTCCTGAAATTAGAGACAAACTTTGAACAGAACAATTTTTAGTAACGTTTCTCTAGGCTTTAATCAATGCTTTAAAAATATTGATGGATATACATACACAATTTTCCCTTGATTTTATTAATGGTAAATATTTAGCAAGACAAATAATGTATCAGACTATATATACTTTTGATGACAAATTTTGAAAATACGAAGCAACAAGAGTCTTTAAAACACAAAGATGAAGAGACAGAATACAGTATTTTTTCTAACCTTAAGCCTCATTTTTGAGAACATTCTCATGACTTCTGAATGTCTGAAAATCCTGATCTTTCCATGACATTTAGTAAACAAGTAAAAACATCAGCTTCCAGAACATAGTATGAAATAAGGTCCATCTCCTGTTCCTAGTATCCACCCAGCACTTTTGATCAGCAGACCTTCAAGGTTTTTACCTAACCGCCCACCACCATTGTTTTCTTCTACGGAACTGGAGTCTGAGAAGGTAAGTGACTTTCCTACTGTTATTTGACAAAGTTTGACCTGGATCTGACATAAAAAAAGGACTAGAGAACAGGTTTTCTTGTATTGTTCAAAATAAAAAGTTCTTGCTACGTGGCTGCGTGGTCAGGCCATTCACCACTGTTGCTCGAAGTGGGAAAGTGGTGAACGCAGCAGTAAGCAACAACTATGAGGTTACGGCCGGCATTATAAGGCTGCCATACATATTCTTTCTGGGCATCTCTTCCTAGCAAGATTTCCCAAGGAAACCGGAGAAAATGACCACACTCTCTTTCTTATCATCTAACTTTTGAATTTTATCAGTCAATTGCAACCAAATTTGACAGTGGGAAGAGCTCTCCAAGATGTGGCTTTCCTGCAAGTCCCATAATGTTGTAGAGGAAAGACCCAATTAAACTCCTCAAGAAGAGGAGAGGCCACAGGATGAACTTGGACATCAAAAGGAGTGTGTTTACCCGAAACCACACACGAACCCTGGCGAGTCGATGAGCACATGGACACCCCCAAACCCACCCCAGCTGCACAGCCGCCCACCCAGTTAATGGCCGGGGGTAGGAGGGAGGGCAGCGTGCACTGCCCACTTGGTTTGGAGAGGGCACAGGAGAAATGACACGGTCCAAGAGCTGCGCAGGGAGGGCTCAGACCCAGCTGGGGCCAACGGGACCTGAGTGGGAGAGCCGGGGTTATCCTGCATGGGAAACGGGCAGCTGTACTCCATGCTGGATGCGTCCACAGAAACCCAGATCCTGTGCTTACAGAGCAGCTCGAGCATACTGCACTGCCAAAGGGGGGAAAATGTCTTTAAGGAAATAAAAATGCAGAGCTACTTAAATCCTTCTCATCTCTAAAGGAAAAAATAATTGCTCTGGTACAGTAACTTCTAGCCAGTGCAACACAACTTGTAAAGAAAGGTACATCGATGCTAACCCTACCCCACCCATCCACAGCCCCCAGTGATGCCTGATGTACAAGGTATACCTGCCAAATTACAATCTCCTTTGAGGGCTCGTTTATTGAGCACTGTGTGAAAGGAATCTCATTTTTAGCCATTTCATGCATTAGCAACCAATTCTACCATGTGCAGGACCAAACGCTAATTTTATTCAGCTGTGTTGTGTTGTCATACCTGGCACAAATCATCTTTATTTAAGACCGCTTGTTACAGAGAAGTTCTGTAGGAAGAGGAACAATATTCTCCTTCAGGAAAAAGTTAATTAAATTTCAAAAGACTCGTAAAGAAGCCTTTTTACATTACATACACACACAAACGGTAGTATTTGTTTCACAGGTCTGTTACTGATTTCTAAAATCTTGCTGCATCATCCAAAAAGATAGATCAAATGCAGAAGTCAAATGAAAGTGCTATTTGCTACATAGAGAACACCGGCATTATTAATATAAAGAGGGCTCCCCACTCAAAGCAGAATTGTGGAGATACCACATAAATTCACCTGTTACGTAGCTGGATAGCTAAAGGAAAAAAGCTAATGTTTTGCTTGTCTGTCAAAAGTGTTATTCACCCTGCCCAAGTCTAATGAGTATCATTTTTCAAGGCTGGCTCAAAGTGTTTTCCACAAGATGCTTTGGTAAGGCAAGGAGGAGGACTGCCACATGCTGTCCTGCCCGGCTGTCAAGAGGTGGCAGTGCAACTCCGGCTTTTGTACCGAACAACGGGAAAAACACAGAAATGTGTTCAATGAATACATGGCTGGCCTGACGAGGACATGAAACTGAAAAGGGTGCAAAAGGTTCCAGTTTTGTTACCAAGATATTGCTTTATCCATTTTTTCGGTGCTTATTTAAATTTTCTGAAAACTCGTTTCTGTATTTAGCCCCCATGCCAGGCCCAGTCGCTCCACCAGCGCCACGGAGACAACCATCACCCGGCTATCGCACAGCCAAGGGGAGCGAGGGATTGTGAGAAGAACAAGCAACACCAAACCACATTCCTTCCCATCGCAAAAGCAAACTATCACATTAATGAGAAAATACAGCAGAAGTACAGATAGCAGAGGATACAATAATTATTTCCCTTTGACAAATTTTGAATCGATACCGGGCTCAATTCTGGCTGCCAGGCTTATGCTGCCAACTCTCGGAGCTAGGGGCGAAGCCAAACATCCCCCACCAAAGGGCTCTGCGGCGTGGCCACCTCCAGCCTCAGGAGCAGAGCTTGCAGACAGCTGAAGAAGCAGCTCAGAGCTGCATGAACCCCATTGCAAGTGATGGGGAAGCTGCTGCAGTTTCCAGCCCTGGGAACTGTGCGGCCTCCCTCCTTCTCGCTCACAGCTTCCTGGGAAGTAACAGCGGGAATGACCCGAGACAGCGGCAGTGAGGGGATGATGGCGAAAAGGAGCAGAGGTGGGATGGAGAGGGGACCCACCGACACCAAAGCCACCAGCCATGTTGCTCTCAGTGCTCAACACGCATGGCCCCCCCTCACTTCATGCTGAAGTTACAACTTGCCAAGGACGTCTGCCAAAGAAAAACAGTAATGGGAAAGAAAATAAACCCGCTAACCTACGAACCACGTGAACTCCATTTTCCCTAATGCCCCAACACAACCCCAGAGCTTGTTTGGGAGGTGATGGAGAAGATTTCTTAAAAGTGGCGTCATGTACATGGAAACACGAATAGAGGAGGAAAAGCTGAAAAGAAGAAAATTAGAGGAGAAAAAAAAAAAAATTATCTTTAGGTATGCACCCATGCATGTACACACATATCCCACATACTAACAAATCTACTTCATTAATGCTGGTTTATTTCCCCCAAATCTACTATTTCCACGTGCAATCGACTACTTAGTTTGGACACTTAATAGATATAAATATTGCTCTTTATTTTAGATACAGCAATTAAATAACCAAAAAGACACAGAAAAATGACCCAAAAATATGTAGAAATGACACATAATTCCTACCAGTCTTAGATTTCTAGCCTAATTTGCAAAGGGCCCACTAAAAATATCTCAAGATATTTGCACCTGTATGTCCCAAACCCATTCTGAAAATGTAACAAGATTCTTGAGGCCCCTTTTTCCAGCCTTTATAAAAATTCCAAGTCTTCCTCAAAACATTCTGTGGATTTACAGGAAATGTGGCAAAGTACAATGCACCCTTGCTACTGTTTTAGGTCCAAGTGCGCTTTTAAAGGAAATCTCTCCCACTTGCCCCTATTTTTGTTTTGCACCTTGGAGCAGTCGCAGAGCATGTGGAATAGATTCCTTACCGGTTAAACTGGGATTAAATAAAAAAAAAAAAAAAAAGGAAAACCAACAGGTAAAAAAAAAAAAAAAAAAGGATGCGCACAAGGGCTTACGAATCATGCCCAAATTGCTCGTGGGCTTCCAGTCCCTGGGATCACACCAGGATCAATATTCACTGCTCAAAACAAAGTCCACTTCAGCAAGCCTCTTCTCAGGCTCTCAACCCACACATGTCCCTGCGATGCTCGTCAATGCCATAGTGCCAACGAAACTGTATTACAGTGCAGTAATAACCCGTCACCCTGTTCTCCCTCGATCATCCGAAATCACTGAGCCACAGGCACTGGTTATCTGTACGATCCCCTTCGCAGAAGATGAGCCTGTGGTTTATAACATCACTGTTCAATTAGAGTCAGCGTAGTATCAAGATATCACAGGTAATTTTTAATGTCGCTATAGAAAGTCCCTGAACTCCCAAAATTTATCAGGCGTAAAACATATCAGCCATAAAATAAAAGTCAACTGTCTATACAGATGCTGGCCTCAAGATCTACTCAAGAACTAGATGTGCCACAGGTCAGGAACAGACAAGATGCGCATCTGTGCTTTAGACAAACTGACCCACTCATTCCAACTCTGAATCCATGTCAGAAATCACAAAGTCATTTGGAAACTACTTTTTTCAAAGGAAATGAGGTTTCTTGTCCCAGAGCC